AAACAACTGAATTCAATAGAATTAAATACTCATAACAAGTGTCTGTTAATATGCTGAATATTGATATTCAGACAATTGATGATAGTCATTTTTGATGTCTTATAGTTAGTGCATTTACGAAGAATTGCTGATTTCATTCCTGCGATTCAGTGATAAAAATGAGAATCACAATGACGACAAAACCTGTAAATCTTCAGCAGTATCCTGATTCAAGTTTGTCATCAAATCGAAGCGACGACTGAGTCGTTCAATTACAGGATGTTCGTTTCCTTTCAACCAAGCACTGAATTTTTGTTTAGCAAAATTAATTAAATCGAAACTCGCCACTTTCCACAACAACTCTTCATGAACTATGTCTACGCCCTCGTGAAACAACAACGAAACAACCAATTTAGCCGTGCTCACAATTGAAGCAAATTTGCGATTCACAATCACCTGTTCGGGGTATGGGTTAGTGAAAAAAGTTTGTAACTTCTAATGTTTCATTCGATGCGAAAAGCCATAACACAACGATGAGATTATATTCACTAGACAAATTATATCCATTGTAGCCACAATAATTTAAGAAACAATCGATTGACATTTTCACCGCACTATTGTTGTAATCGACCTGATCAAATCAATCAGCTTCACAAAAACAACAAACTGTACAAATTTGAAAAACAACTGCATAAATTTTTGCCGCAACTCATTGTACGATAATCTAGTGAAGCATGCAATGTTGATGTGTATCGCGAAGAAAATTACAAGCATTGGACATTCGATCAAATGAAGAAATGAAGCGAAATAAATCTCAATCACCTTTTACTGATACGATATGGTGCATATTCCAGATCACCTGTTTTTGAATTTTGCACAGTTGCTCGATTCAACTGAAAATGAAACGCTTTGTGACAGCATGCAGCAAGTTGCGGCTATATGAAAACTGCATTGTGCAATTGCAGATATATGTAAATATCAGGAGTCTTCTAGTTGAATGTCAGATTCAAAAGCGACATGAATTCAAGCGCCAATTGAAGCATCACCCTCGATAAAAACATACGCATGGAATCGTGCAATGCAAACGGAATCAAAATAAGTTGCTTTCTAGTCCGACAAGAACTCTTAATCAGTCGCTCTTTGCAAAATAACCCAGAAACTCTTTTATGTGCTATTTTATCGCCAGCATCCACGAATATTCTGTTTATTCATTCCATTTAGAATCGGTATGCAAAAAAAAAGTTAAAGTGGTAACGAATCACTGAAAGCGTTTATTTCCGAAAATGAAACAAACACTTCAGTTGCTCACCTTGGGAACTGCGAGTTGCTCAACAACACTGATCTCGTAATCGGATATAATTCCTCTGTACAGAACAACCAACGGCTCGAAACGTAAAATCTCAATTTTGATCGGCGCCAGTTTCAAAAATGGCCGATCCATTTTGAGGTAGCAATATACGATCGACTGTTCCGTTTCGTTCACCTCAAATACAGCTCAATCCTTCGAGTTGCATAACGTTCGATAACATGTGATCCGATGCGGTACTTCGTTCTTATTAAGCGAATTTATTTAGCAGATTGCCTACGTACCCTATCAATTTAAAGAGTTTCTAACAGAAGAATTGCTGCTGAAAAACGGAACTTGAAGATATCACTGCGAACAATATGATCCGAACAACACAGGCATTGCCACCAAACAGTCACCAAACAGGAATATAAGCAAAATAACCTGAACTTCTCCTCGACATAATGACTCATATGAATCACGCTCGGGCGTTCCATCGTCAAATCTCTCTAATCTGAGTGGCGGTAATTCCGAAGTAATTCTGTCTTTTTCATCAAGCATATCCTCGTACCACTTCACATTATCTGCAATGAATGACGAAGCAATGCCGAACTGCAAAACCTCATAATTTCAACATGAACATCATCAGAGCAATTGCATGAATTGCTAAAGATTACATTGGTGAAAGCAAGAAAGCGAACATTTCTGCGCTGATGTTCTNGCCGTCTGTGGATCTTCATTCTCAACTCTGAGTAATGCTTCTTGCATCCACAATATCGTATGATAATAGTCGAATTGCTGGTACGCTGAACGACCCACCTTAACAGTTGTTCATCATGGAAATTGCTTCGCTTGAGCAAATGATTCGATTCAACAGAGAATGTGAATTAAAAACTTGATTGTAAGCTAGAGTGACAAATAGAAAAGTTGACATATTTCCTTTTAGCAATGTTCATAATGAACTGCTTGATATTATTCGAATAGAAATTACAAGTCTGCAGTGCAAATTCTGCAGTAGATCGCCAGTGTCAAGGCGGTTCGGAATTTTTCCACAAACGAAGCAAAAACCTCAAAACAGTCATGGCTGGTGAGCTGTTGTCCAATGTATTTGCCTCGAATATTTCCAGACGCTATATCATGAGTGTCCAGTTTATAAGTATCTTGAAGTCGAAGTAACGCGATTGCAGCCCCAGTCAAATCTTCTCTTTGAGGATACCTCACCTGAACACCTCGCAATAAGTCAAACTTGTCAGAAATGAAGAGCACGAGGTCTGATTTGCTGCTGAGCAGTATTACTGGGTCACATCAAGCGACAATTGGAGGAATGCGATTAGTTTACTCATCTGTCACTTCACTGACAATTAGATCGTAATTTTCGGCATTTTCAATAGATTTTCAATAGATGTAATTTTCGACATCAATAGCATATCAAGAACGGTGGTGAACTACTACTGGCACACACTGTCCAAAATATGAACATGATTTGAACAAGCGAGCCAGGTCCGTTTAAGCTAATGTCTGGCCAAGCTCGTTCAGTAAACCCACGTTTTGTCGAAAAATTAATATGGACATGGAATATCAAATTAGAAGCTTGATTGAACACTTATTGTAGATTGACTGAGAAATTGAACAGATCATATCTTACGACGCAATGATCCGAGAGTTTTTTCTTTGCTTACATCCGGAAACGAAACGAATTGAAAAACCCGTGGAAAAGGTAAAAGCAATACGTCGACGTCAACTTACCTCACCAAAAGTTTTTCGTTTCTCAGTGATATTCTTAATGAATTGTTCGGCTGAATTTTGTGTCATCATATCTTCCAAATATTGCCAGTCTGATGTGAGTCGTTTTATAAGTAAATAAGCGTTCACCGGATTGGTCACATAGCTGCTTCCCGACGAAACCGCTTCAGTGTTCCGCCTTGTGTATTCACTTGCCATACTGAGTGAAATTCATTTAAAGACTGAACTAAGTTCGAAGTGATATCGACCATAAAGAATCTTACATGACTGAACAACTTTTGGATATGTAATTTTCACTTATAAACACATTTTGGTTGCTAGCAGTTCAAGTCATGAACTAGAAGTGTTCACGATATTTCGAAACAATAGAATCCAAAGAAAAACAGGTTGCTCTAACATGCTACGTTCCATTTTAATTCAAACACCTCAATCACATTTTATGAGACTGCAGAAAAAATCGCACGTTGTAAGAAAAAATCGCACTGTGCACTTGTAAGAAAACGAAGTTGACTTCATCAGCCATTGTTACTAACATCCTTATTAACTACAGTCACGCTTCAAAATATGAAACCTTATTGTTAGCTTATTTCGGTCGCGGAAAACGTGCAAACCACAAATAAATGTGAAATTTACATAAGATTATTCAATGACAANAAAAAAACACAACGGAGTCTAGTTACTAAATTTTCATCGGAAATCATCTCTCAAATAATCTTCAAATACAGCAAGTGCGTCGCATCAATATCGAAAGAAATTACTCTTTAAGTTGCTTCAAGCGTTCAAATTCTGAATCGATATACGCAGAGATGATTGTGGTAACCTCCTTCTCAGCACCCAATAGATTTTGCATATCAGCAATTGCCGTGAATATATCCGCTGAACATACTGTCGAGAATACGACAAGAAGTAATGTGATTAACATCTGAAATTGATAAGTTACAGTGTTTTATCATACCTGTCTTTCTAACGTTCATCGACTTCAAATTAAGTGAAATGTTATACAATCATCTAAACAGAGATATGACCATAACAGATCCACTGCGCTGGCTTATTAATAATCTTCTTGCGATAGGTTTCAAGTGCAGTGTGCTTGAAATGGACGCATACCATTTAGGATACTTCAGAAAAGGTTATTTGGTTTCAGTATCAAATGATCGGTAACATTTGCAGATTATTAACCCCAAAGCAAATTCCCTTCGAAGAAAGGATTTGTCGATCAACGAAACATTCACATTGAAAACACTGTGGCAGAGCTAGATTGCAAAAGCGTCGAGTTATTTGTTAAAAATGATGATAATTCACTGATAAAAGAACGAATTGGTAGTGAACTAATGGATTGAATGGAGCAAGATCAACCGGAATGAATGGCTTCAAGGAGGGAGCATGCCCATAAGAGGTTTGAGTAAACGTGTATGTGTATGACCTATTAATGCGAATATTTATATGAACTAAATTATGCGATGCGAATATNTCATCAGAATCATACAGGTGATCGAAATTGGGTCTTCCAACCTTGAAACATCTTTATACAATCTGTTATGCGTTTGAACCGGTCTAATGTTGCCTTTGAGGAGAAGACATATTCAAGTTTGTCTTAATGCACACATTATTCCAAAATGAAATCCACTAGTGCTGTTGAGTGATGTATTTGATAGAAATTTTCACTCAATAACGGCAGCGAGTTCTCACAGGACAACGTGTATAAATTGAACTGATAAGAATCTGATTTCAAATTTTGATTCAAAGTGAGCAGTCGGAATGCAAGCGTTTACCCCGGCATTTTCGTTTGGCGAAGAACGATGACCGTAACCTATCCAACTGGGCTTTATCCATACCGGTTGAACGAAATGAATTATGTTTGAATCAGAATGAATTTACTGTTTGCTTCCTTTCTCACCACGCTTTTGAAGTTCCGGATTCGTGCCTCAAGCGCCAGTGGAAAGGTGATCGCTCGCTTCAGGCCCGCTTATGATGTGATTACGAGCTATACAATAATTTGTCGAAGAAAATAACCAAACGATTGCGAATATGCGTGCAAAATCAGCAGCTAAAGCTTTTCGNTAAGTTGAATTGGGTCAAGAATGAGGCAAATGAGTTGAAAAGCTCAGAGAAGGCCGCTTGAACTGACGGTGACATATCAGTTTCATATTCGTTATCAGTGCATATCAATCGTAAAATCGATATAGCGGCTAGCGAAAATAGGATAAAATCGAATAATGATTGCTGTTAGACTGGAGCTGAACTCAAATCGAATCACATTTGTGTGGTATTAAACAAAAATTTACTCTATTACACTCAACTTGAATACGCATCTCACATTGCTTCCTCCTCAAAGGGCACTATGTAATGTGGCTGAACCCTTTTCGTGATGCTAATAGCAATGTGCCTTTTCTCTATCACAAAGCTTTTTGCAATTTAATACGATCTACTCAAAAACCAATACTCCTCATCGATAGTTGTTTTAATGGAAATTGATACGATGAAATCATTTGCATCACATAGAAGCCTCACTGTAACTTATTGAAACCGAACACAAGGCAATAGTTCTCAACAAAAAATGTTGAATTGATCGACGATTTTTTTGGAAGTTTAATGCAAGCTTAAGCCTGACACTATGCTATTAATCATTTACTTCAGGAATAGTCTGAAGTGGTCAAACTAGGAACAAGAGAACTCATTTGCTTTTGGTTGCAAGAGAACATGGTGAGGTGAAGATGATACTTCGACATCTTAGTACAATAACCATCGCTGGTAGTAGAATGAGATGTCGAAGTGTCATGAAAATTCGAAAATACTTCACTGAGGTGTTATCGTGAACGATTCATCGTGCATTTCCTTCAATCACTTTCCTTACGCAACTATTCAAAACCTAAATCCATCATATTCTGCATGTAGCGATGATCATTTTCTGCATCTGACATTTGTTGTTGCAAATTCAGCACGACAGATCGCACTCGCTAGAGGCGTGAAACAGCCCTCAAAATGTTGCATTGGCCAAGCATTTTGTCAGAAGTTTAATACAACTGTAAGCAACAAGTTCGACGCAAGAGCGACTAGAAGAACTGGTGCAAAAAAAACACGGAGAGAAACATTCCTAACTGTACTCAGTTCTCGAAGGGCAATGTAAAACTGGCACCGGGAAAAATCAGACATTCAAATGAATTGTAGTAATTCATTGAAGAAATCCGTTCAACTGGTGCCTCATTCTGTTCTGACGAGTTAAAAAGAACGAAAACGTCGAATTCGATTGAGGAGCGTCTCAATCGCATTGGCTGTTCCATATGTTTTTGAAAAGACTTAATTCATCATCACTCATGTACAGAAGAAAATGAAATGTTTGCAGTGCTAAGCAATGGACAGAACTTCGTTTTGAATGTTTATTAGTAAAAGAACGACAAAGGTTAAGCAAAATGAATGGCTGTTGCAAGAAAAGGATAACGAAAGGAGTCTACAAAAAAAGTACACTCTGTAATTGGCTCATCACTTGTCAACAGAACGACGTTCAGTACTTACATAGAGGATGCATTAAGCAATGTAACATTTTATCTCACAAAATAATATTCTCTGTGAGCCTCGCCATTTCCAGGGAATAAAATGGTTGCAATAAGGGTTAGGGGAATCTTAGCTATGGGTTTTTACTAGCACTATATTAATATCTAGCTGATCAAGCATGCAGATTTTGAAATCCTCATTGAATTGTAACTAGATGAAAGGTGGCACACAAAGTTTTGACGCAACCTAACGCTCATCCATCAACTATGATCATGTCATCACATTCAGATCCGTAAGGATAAAACTCTTAAAATTTATTGAAGTTTGACTGATTCATTCACTCATTTCACTTGAACTGGATTATAGTGGGAAATTTCTTTGTGAAGAACTGAAGATGGCTTCTGATGATAAGAACATGCGCAAACACATCAATGAATTCAACAAACTGCTCATGTTTGTTAGCTATCAAATTGTATCGGTTTAAATATGGTTTGGAAAAGGAGAATTGAGGATCATTCAGCTCAATCCATGCAATAAACGAATAATCAACGAAATCGATGATACAATGATAACGAATCGATCAGATCGAAATTGTTTACAGGAACAGTAGCAAAGCGCATAAACAAAAACCGATACGCGCATCTCTGCGTATAACCTCAGTGATATGTGTTGTTCTCGATCGAGAACAACACATATCTAACAAGTGATTCAGGGTATGCACATTGCGATACGTATACTTACCCTCTTGTATGAGCAACGGATTTGTTCCCTTAACAACAGCCATATCCCTGTTATGCATAATATCACTCAAACCTGTACTCATCTAGGTATTTCAACTAACACTCAAAACGAAGACGTTGATTAAGTGTACGTGTGTCTGCTGCTGCTGCTGCTCTTGCTAAATAATTCATAATTCACTTCAACATCAAGAGCGAATGTACTAAAGTTACTGCTTATAGTTCAGCCTTCTTAACAGCTTCTGAAATCTTAATGAATTCTTTTAAATAGTTGTTACGATTTGAATGAATCCACTAGGAATTCATATCGTTACTTGCCGGATGAACTGTGCATATTTGCCTTCACATAACCAAACGTTCATCAATCAAACAATCGCTCACCCACAATTCATAGGCAGCCACAGTCGAAAGTTTGTTTCATTGTGTACAATAGTAATTTTTGGCAATTATAAATGCACTAGTTATGACCAATTATGCACCTAATAAACTAACCATATTCAATTTACAATTCATTTTATGCTTCTGCTTTTCAACATCATCGTAAATTAGGCTGAACAACAGCGTACGGATGTATCCTGCATTATCAGATTAGCAAACAGATGGTCAGCACAAATTCATTCAAAAATCTTTCAGTTGATGATACAAAAAAGGAATGGACCGTGTGAAAGTTTGTGGACTGTGTGATCAATTGAAACACTTTGTATTGTGTGATTCATTTGATCCGTCCGCATTTTGTTATCTAAATTGCCAGGTAAATCAATTCATTGATGATGTGCACGAAAAAAAAGTTGTGTCCAATAAATATTAATCAATCAACCTCAACATGACCAAATCAACAAACTGTGTGATTTGAATAAGC